AACAACAACACCAACAACACCAACACCAACAACACGACCAGCAACACCAACACCACCAACAAACCCAACCACACCAGCAACACTAACAATACCAACAGCACCACCACCAACAACACCAGCATTAACAACACCAACAACACCAACACCACCAGCACCACCAACACTACCAACACCACAACCACCGCCAACCCCAACCACACCGCCGAAGCCTTTCCGTCGCTTTTACCAGACTCCACTTTATATTTTTAGAGAGAAAATGGCCGCGTCGCTTTTACCAGACTCTACTTTATGTTTTTTTCTTTGCCCTCTCTCCTTTCTTTTTTCTTCGGTTCCTTTCTTTCTCACCTACCTTTCGTGTTCCCCCTCTCAAGTTACTTTTCCATGCCCTTTGTAAGGAAATGCCAGTAGCACAGGGTAGGAAAGGGTTGAATTTGAATGTCATGGCTGTCGACTTTGCAGAACGACAGTGGTGGCTTCGAGTTTGCCGGCGATGCGTTTCAAGTCAAAGATAAGGACACCACAAAACTGACTTGAAAACCCCAAGAGTTTGGAGAGTGTGCATATCCAACTGTTTTGCATTGAAAAACTGCATGACATGTGCGTCAGGACATGCAGAATTCTCATTTTTGTCCATTTTGTTGTCAGGGAAAATGGATGATGCAGTTTTTGTGCGGGTTTGGGCGGCTTGGCAGTGTCCTCCGTAGATTTTGTGTCAATTGTGGTTCTTGTGGATGCACCATGGTTTCAGTATGATGAAATTTGCGGGGGCATCGTGTCGTTTGACGCATGTGCCGAGCAAACATTTGTATTATTTCTATGAGGAGAACTGAGAACACATATTTTGTTGCAGTGGTTGTGTTGCTGAGTTGTTGTGTGGTTGTGTGGTTGTGTGGTTTTGTGGCGGCTTCGAAGGCAACGTTTGATTTATGTATGATTTGTTGTTGGATAGGATTCCGTTGACGAAGTGCATTGAACCGCACCAAAAGCTTCAATTTGTTGCATAGCCGAACCACATTACATACAGACAAATGATGGAAAAACAATGAACTGAACATATGAACCAACTAGATGGATGTTGTTTTTCGAATCAGTTTTTCACGATTTCACCCGGATTGGGCAGACAAATGCACTTCCAGTTTTGATTCCACAGAGTGAATTGGTTGTCAAAAAAAACACACAACAATGAAACTGGTGTTTTTTTGAAACATCCATTTCGATGCATCACAAAACTGTTTGGGTTTTGGATCATATACATCCAATAGAAACACTGTAATTTGGTGTTGGCAAGGTCTCCAAAATCCTGTTTGGGAAACAACATTTTTGAAAAACCAACAGCAAAGTCCGACGACTATTTTTTTTTGGATATTGGATGGTGCCTCGACAGGGCCACTGATAGCAGGACGCTGTGGCCTTTTTTTGGGGTGGATTGCCAGGTTTAGATGAAGTGGTGCACACAAATCACACAACGATGCACGAAGCAAAAGTCGAATTATGGATGCCATTTGAGGTGACCGTTTGGGGTTCCAAAACCATTGGTTTCCTCCTCAACAGCGGTTGATTGCGGTATATATAATAATAATAATGATAATAATAACAACAATAATGATAATAATAATAATGATAATAATAACAACAATAATGATAATAATGATAATGATAATAATAACAACAATAATGATAATAATAATAATGATAAAAAAATAATCATAATAATACTGATAATAATAATAATACTAAAAATAATAGTAACAATAATAATAGTAATAATAATAATAATATATATATATATATGTATATACCATCCGGTAATCTACACTGGAAATCCGGACTTTTACTTTTCACGGGACACACAGTATGCACAATCACCTTTAAGGGTGTTTTCCACTACCATGTTGGATTACCAAAGGGTTGGTCCACAGATTGACCCTTTCCCAGGATGGAAAAATATCGACAATTTGCCGATGGAGGAGCAACTGATGCTGACAGACATTGTTGTTTTCAAAATAGGAGTAACAAACAGGTATATAATCACAGGGCTGGTGCAAACCATCGTGATGATAGTGTTGATGATGATGATGATGATGAAGAAGAAAAACCACATTTTCCTGAATTATCCGCAACGTATAACAATGAAACTATGGCCAATAAATGTGACACTACTGCAATGATGTCTCTCTCATTTTGCAGCCTATTGATTTCTTGACATTCATGCTGCCTTGTTCAAACAAAAACAACCATGTCAACATATCTGGGAATAGGCCTTTGCACCAGATATAACATTGATATGTTTTTGGGATTAGTTATGGGTCTTTGATGCAAAGAAATAGGAATCGCACATGATGTTATGAAACTGCTATGCACATTTGGGTACAGGACCCAAGATTTTGGTAATGATCAACGGGCAAACACATGCTTTTGGTACCTTAATGTTGATTTATATTAAAAACAAAAAAAACACATGCCACCTATAGTTCACCCAGCCCCTATGGAACGAAAACCAAGGGTCGGAGAAGGGTTTTGCGGGAGTGAGTTTTCCCTGGTCAGGCACTGGGGTCAATCCATTCGTGCCGCCTTGGTCGCATTACAAGGCGGGGTCTCCACTTGGGTTGGTCAAAGAGACTTGTTGATTGGGTGTTCACAGGGGGAATAGTCAAATCTTTCTACGCTGGGATAGTTTCGTGACGTCAAAAAAGGGCCAACAGTGGCCAATTTTGTTTTATTTTTTGGTTGTGACTGCTAAGAAACCTCTGCTCTGAATGAGAGTGGTACTCTGAGTGGGTGGAATTGCCATATAGTTTCATTGTTGCTCATTATTCATCATGTTCCCATTAAAGCAGGTTGGGCAAGCAACCCCAATACTACAACAATCCACCGACAATCATTTAGGCTTTATACCCTCTCGTGAAGGATACTAAGTGCCCACCATTATTTTTGCTGGTTCAAATCCATCAATTAACTACTCACCCATCAACTGCCGAGGGGCATTTGCGCGCAAAACGTCCCGATGTTTGTTGGTTGAATCAGCATGTTCCCGCAGTTTTGTTTGTTGGAGTTCTGTGTTTTTCATGGTCCAAACAGGGGTTGTAACCCTATGATCTTCCCATTGACGCGAGGCTGGAGTGCTGGGACGATGTCTCAAGGTGGTTCGCGGCTCAAAAATCCTGATGCCGGTAGTCCGAGGCGTTGGTTTTCGCAACTCCCCCCAAAAATGGAAAAGTTCCCATTAAAAACAGTGTCAAAGTTTCTTTTTTTCGGTGTAAGTATAGTTGTCTTTTTTTTTCCCGATATTTTTGTGTTCTCTTGCGATTAAACATCACCAGCCAGTGTGGTCAAATAGGCGCTGTTTCGCAAAGGTGACGTTCATAGGGGAAATATATAAAGAACCCCCGAAAACCTTGGACGGTGTTCCTAGAAAATCCCAAGGGCTGAATTTACCCCTGGGCGAATAGTGAATATTTGCCACTTGTGGTAAAAATGCGCCAATTGACAGGAAAATGGGTTTGTCCCAAAATAGGGTACCCCGAAGTCCACCACAACCATAATTTTTTGGATGTGATTGAAGTTCCTCCAGTTTTCACATACATATGTGACTTGGGTTTCAATCTTGCAACAATAGCCAGGCTCCACTTACACACCTGGAAGTGGCCAACCCACCGCATGTGGATCAACCTTTTCTTCTTTTTCTCTTGGGTCCCAGTAAAAGAACCAACATTTTCTTGTCATTTTGGTTCTGTTCGGGTCTTCGTAGCTGTGACCACTGCGGTATTCGTACTACGGCTTCCAGACGCCAGCAGGGCAGGGGCCTGCTTTTTTCACCCAGAATGTTGGGGACGGATCAAAATCGCATCAAAAGGAGGGACGAACCTCCATTTACCCTCCGGTCATCAAACATAGCAATGGAAAATCACCTGTTGAGTTCGATGATGTTCCCAGCTGTGAGTGATTCAGCTGTCGCATGTCTTTTTCATATCAATTGCCTGCAGGTGATGAGTTTGCCATGAGTGCACATTCAAATCGCCTGTTATTTTCTGGCTTAAGGGACCCCTTTGGCCAATAGCTTTTAGCTGCAACGGCTACTTGCTTTGCTGGCGCCATTGCAGGCGCGACCTAGCCTGAGACAACTTGGGCGTGGAAAACTTCGGCTGCTGTGAGACTTGGAACTTCAGTGGGTTGAAGCGCTGCCAGTTACACACCGTAACTGGTAGCGGAGCTGCCTGGACCTTCTTGCGGTTAGAGGTCAAAGAGCCGGAGCCCAAGGAGGTGGAATTCGACCAGGGCAAGTGACACGTGTGGCTGGGAGTACTTTAACCTGAACGCCTTCGAGAAGTTCCCAGGTCTTGCAACGTGCATTTGCTTGGACCTCGAGCCCTTCGACCAGTTCATTGCGGTTGCTTGGACATCGAGCTCTACGACCAGTTCATTGCATTTGCTTGGACCTCGAGCCCTACCACCAGTTCATTGCAGTTGCTTGGACCTCGAGCCCTACCACCAGTTCATTGCAGTTGCTTGGACCTCGAGCCCTACGACCAGATCTTAGCAGTTTCTTGGTGTACGAGCTCTACAAGACCCCTTGCTGCGCGAGACGCAGTACCTGGAGGTGACTGACGAGAACATGGGCGACAAAGATGTCTATGTGAAGCGTTCCTGGGATGGAGATCCTGCGACCTGGCAGGACTACATACGGAAGGTCCGTCTGACCTTTGAGAAAACCAGGAACCGAAAGAGGAAGTATTTAGGACCAGAATTGGTCTCCCAATTGACCGGCAGGGCTTGGACGGTCACACAAGAGATCGACCACCGGATGCTGGTGCAGCCTGACGGCGCACGTTTCCTCATCGAGTTCCTGGAGCAGAGATTGGGAAAGGTGCCAGTGCCTGATGCTGGGACCAAGGCGGAGGAGTTGTTCGTCAAGATGAGACGGCCATCAGGTATGAGCATGGCATCCTGGTGCCACAAGGTCAGGGAGACCTATCGAGGCTTGCAACGAGCTTTGAAGAGGGCAAGGGTGGAGCAGCAAGGCTCTACGCAGGAGTCGCCTGGTTCTCCTGGGTCTGGAAGAACTTCGAGATTGCCGAGGACGACACCGACTTCACAGAGGCCGACTCCGACTTCGCCGATGGAATCGCCTTCTTCAAGGAGACGCTCAAGCAAGCAGACGGTGGATGAGCCTGAAGGAGATAAGACTCCACCGCGAGCTGATGACGCTGGACCTTCTGCCGAAGCTCCCAAGACACCCAGCGAAAGGGACAGCCGGGACTATGGGTATGACTCTCCGGCTGATGAGTCAGAAGTGAGACGCAGGATGAGAGGCAAAGGACGTGGTTCACGAGGCCATGAAGACTCCGACACCGACACAGAGGACATCCTGGCTGGCATCAAGGTTTGGGACGACCTGGACACGGGCCTCCCCGAGGTGTTACCCACCGAATTGGTGGGGTGGCTGATGCTGCGTCGCTGCGCTTTGAGCTCTCAGCAGCGGCTCAACATCTTGTCATCAGTGGGCAACTCTTTGAAGGCGGAGGACATTGAGCGTGGACTTCGTGGAGCAGAAGAAGAGTTGCGACTACATGACCGTGAACAACATCCGAAGGGAGGTGGAAAGAAGGGCCGCCCAGTCTTCTGGATGGAACATGGAGGCGAATGGGCACTGCTCAATGCCAGTGAGGAGGACATGGATGATTGGACTTCTGATGTCCACTGGATTGGTGGCACTCAGGAGCTGGCTTCGAACTATGGCGTTCTGAGCTCTACATCCTCGACTATGACATCGGCGTATGGTGGACAAGATGACGGAGTTTGGTTTCAAGATGCTGATGGTGGCCAAACCTGGTGGGAGCGAGACACCGACACTGGCGAGTACTACACCCAGGACTCCTACGGTGTCTACTGGTCCTGGAGTGATTGGGAATCTGCCCAACAACATGCCTTCTTCACGGAGGACCAGCAGAAGGAGCTGTCCGAAGCCTATGCAGCCTATGAAGGCAAGTTGCGGACCTTTGCAGAGAGCCGCAACCTCATGCGTGACAAGGCGATGAACCGTGGCTTCTATCCCACCAAGGGCAAGTTCAAGGGCAAGAAGGGCAAGCCGCGACCTACCTCATCTTCTTCGTCTTCCAAGGGCAAAGGTGGTGCTGCGATGACAGCTGATGCGATGGCAACAGTGGGCTCTCCGAACTATTCTGGTTGCTTCATTTGTGGCAGCCGCGACCACGAGTTCAGGAACTGCCCCAAGAAGAGTTCCAACAAGGCTGGCAAAGGTGGTGGTATTTACATGGTGTCTTCAATGGCATCCTCTTCGATGGAGAACATCTATGCAGCCCCTGTGGAGGCCTATGGCCAGAATGTTCCTGGCACCATGCCGTCCCTGATCGGACACGTGCAGCAACCTGACTTAGAAGGATTTGCAGTTTTGGACACAGGAGCCACTGAAACCATCACATCCTTGGAAGCTTTAGCATTTGTACTCAACAAGAGAAGACAACGTTTTGGAGAGGAAAGACTTCAAGTTGTGGATCGCCCCCCAAAAGTTTTCAGGTTTGGAAATGGACAAACGCAAACATCAGAGAGCTTTGTACTGATCCCTCAAACACTTGGAAAACATCACATCTCACTCGGTGCTTTCACAATCGATGCCCCAGGCGTGCCACTCCTCCTGGGAATCCGTAGCTTAGACAAGCTAGGGGCGATTGTAGATTGTAGCCGGAGTGTGATGGTCCTCAAAACAGTTGATGCAGCTCTGATGATACCTCTCAAGAAATCTTCAACAGGTCATTTGTTGATTGATCTCTGCGACAACTGGTTACAGGGAGGATCACGGATCTTCTTCCACTCGGACATTCCTGTCGAGGAGAAAAGGGTCCAGTCTGCAAATACGGCTTACATGGTTCATGAGGTTGAGGGAGAGAGAGGTCAAGCAGTTTGTCATGAAGATCAGTGCACGAGTCATCACGTATTTCATGGAGATCACAACATGCATTTTCACGTTTGTCATGAAGATCCCAACATGGTACATGGAGTTTTTCACGGTGATTCAGACATGCCACAAGCCGAAAGCTGTGAAACGTGGAACGTTGAAACATGCATGCAGTTGTTGAGTGAAGGTGAAAGAGGTGAATTTTCAAGGTTAGATGAAAGTCAACGTGATGAATGGTTGACCAACATTTTTGCTGTCAGACTTGAAGATCAGCCGAACACTCTTTCTTCAAACCCTGCAGACTCAGCTCAGCAAGGAATGTCCTTGCGACTACTCGCTTGGTTAGCGACTGCCCCTTTGCTCGCGACCTCCGACAGCTGGTGCCATGTCGTCCAATGGCAACAAGGCCAAGGAGAAGAGCCAATCTTCGAAGACCGAGCTCAAGGGGAACAAGGACGCCAAATTCGATTGGTCCCGGACTTGCGGACCAGATCCGAGGGATCCGAGATGCACCGGAGCCCCATGCTTCGGGTCCCACGACCCGGCAGCCCCAGGGAGAGGATCGCCATCGGGCGCCAACGCCCACGCGACTTGGACGGCATGCGCTCGGTGCAAGATGAGACTCAGCTACACTCCATCATGGGGTGCGCATGCCCTCACCCGCAAACCGGGTGCACTCCCTGCGGACGTGGAGAAGCAGGTCGACGAGCTGCAGGAGAACGCGGCCTACAGCCTGAAGCTTCGGGACAAGGACATCGGTTTGGATGGAGCCGAGAAGAGCTGTCTCAACCAACTCGAGAAGATCAAAGCACAGAAAGCGGCCTACAACAAGGACAAGCCAGCCGCCGCTCTACAGACCGAGGGCACTATGCCGACTCCTACGCCGAAAGCTACCATGCCGCCAAAGCCTCAAGTCTACAACTTGGAGGAGGACGATCATACGATGTTACCAGGCCGCAAAGGCCGGAAGACCGAGACGGCGGAGGAGCTGGAGGCAAAGCAGAGGGAGGAGGCAGTGGACAGCCCTGGTTCCTTCACGGTGATTTCATCGTAGGCGACGAAGCTGAGGCGACCAAGAAGGCCGAGGAGAACTATAACCTGGACTATGAACCCATCTTGGAGAATGAGGACACCCAGGACTTTGACAACAGCGAGCCCCACAAGCCGGAAGAGAACTACCTCGTGAAGAACCTGGACAACGACCTGACCAAGCACTTGGTAAACTATGTCCAGGAGTATTTTGATGACATGGAGGAGGAGATTTTTGCTTGTGGCGGCATGCGAGAAGATGATCGACTTGATCTACTGGAACTTTGCTGCGAGGAGAACAGCCTACTCACTGAGGTGGTTCGTGCTGCTGGTGGAAAAGCTGAACGGGCTGGGCTCTTCAATGGATGCGATCTGATGAAAGCATCTGGCAGGGAGAAAGTTCAGAAGATCATTGATGAGAAGAAACCACGATGGATTTGGGTTTCTTATCCCTGCGGACCTACAAGCCCTATCCAGCACTTGAACGAGATCAGCGAGGAGGGCTGGTGGCAAAGTATGAGAAGAAAACAACGAGCACGAAGGTTGTTAAAGCATGGCAACGAGATCCTGCTCAAGTACGTCCAGAATGGTGGCAACTTGGTGTGGGAATGGCCTCGCTACAACGAAGGGTGGCATCTTCCTGAGGTGCGTTCGTTCTGGGCGCAGATTGCACACGTTGACCACAACCTGGACGGCTGCATGTTCAACCTACGTGCACAAGACGGCAACTACCACAAGAAACCTTGGACTTTGAGAAGCAACAGATTTGGAGTCTTCAGCAAGATGGAGCGACTTTGTGACGGAAGCCACAAGCACTCTCCAACTATGGGTGGAACTGTGGCCAAGAAATCTGGGCTCTACACACCCCAGATGTGCTCTTTGGCAGCCCGATGTATGAAGGCCTACTACCTGGAGGACTACAACATCTACGGCTTGGACTCTGTGAAGATCGACCGGGAGTCGCTGAAGACGATGACCTATCAGGAGATAGAGCGACTTTCGCTCACGGTCCTCAAACTACATCGTCGCTGCGGTCATCCTGGAAACAGAGCACTGGTGAAGATACTTGCTGCTCGCAATGCCGATCCAAAGATGCTGGCAATTGCAGAGAACTTGCAGTGCGATGAATGTCAAGAAGGACAATTCAGCAAACCGTCTGTAGCTGTTGCGTTGGAGAAGGAAGAGAAAATCTGGAATACGCTGCAGATGGATACCTTCTACTTCAAGCACGACTCCAATGTCTACCACTACCTGGTCATGCTCGACGAGGCGAGTGGATTCTCCATCACGGCCGAGATCCTGGTCCATGTGGAGGAGATCCATGCCAACGTGGACACCCAGAGCGTGATTGAAGCTCTGGAGGGATCTTGGTTCCAATACTTTGGACACCCTCAACGCATTCGATGCGACCTTGAAGGTGCCTTCAGAGGACGAGAGTTGGAGGCCTACTGCGCTGAACGTGGCATTGAACTACTCCAAGTGCCTGCAGAACACCATCAGGCCACAGGAGACGTGGAGCGCATGGTTGGGGAACTACGCCACAAGATTGAGTTGTTCCTGAGGAATGAGGACGTGCCTCCCAGAAGAGCCGTTTACGCCATGACCACTGCCCACAACCACATGGCGAGGATAGGTGGTTTTGCACCTTCACAATGGGCGTTTGGAAGGCAAATGGACAACCTGGATAACATTGCAGTTCACTCTTCAGAAGGAGTCAGCGGACATGCAATGGCTGAGAACCTCCAACTTCGACTACGAGCCGAGAAGCGCTACCTTGAACTCCAGGCCAATGCCAAGATCTCCCGGGCTCTCAACAGCAAAACCAAGCCTTCCATCAGGTTCCTTCCTGGCGACCTTGTCTACTACAAGCGCTTCAAGCAGCCCTCAGACTTTCCTGCTCACCAATTGGTGGACCAACCTCGGTTACGAATCAGCCGTTGGTATGGACCTGGTCGTGTACTTGCCAGTGAGACCAGGGTGCAGGAAGAAGGAACACGAAGAGTTGCTGCTTCTACTGTGTGGGTGGTCTCCCAGGGCAGACTGAAGAAGTTCCACAAGGATCAGCTGAGACATGCCAGCGAGAGGGAGCGACTCATTGCTGAGCAGTCACCAGCACCGGTGACACCGTGGACTTTCAATGCCTTGGAAGCTCTGATCGAGCGGGGAGCCTTTGATGACCACACGGCGGACTTGATGGAAAAGGTGCCCAACAAGAGCCAGCGACGAGCCTACAACCGGTCTCGCACACCTGTGCCCGGTGGGCATGAGAGAAGAGTGATGACAGAGGCATCATCGAGTGCACCTTTTGCACCACAAGCTGTGCCCCGAGACCCTCCTGATGCTGTCATGGAAGATCATGGCCCCACTACACGCACTTCTACCACTCCAGAAGATCCTGATCTGCAGTCTGTGATCGATGGAGACAAGCTCATGACTGACCCTCACTACATGCCTCTGAAGCGGATTGGAGGAGCAGAACCTGAACCTGGAGAAGTGACCTTTCAGAGACGCCGCAAACAACATGAGATGGAAGATCGCCCTCTGCATGTGAAAAAGGCAGAACTTGAAGCTGCAGCTTACTGGAGCTTCGAAGAGGCCAACGACTGCGTCTACGGCGTGGAGATACCTATGCCGGAGAACGAGAAGGCCTGGCGCAAGATACTGAAGAACCCATCAAAGTTTGCTGCCAAGAGCGTCCAGAAAGGCGCTGAGGTCTCTTGGGGAAAGCTTTCCACTGAGCAGAGAGAGGCTATGCAAGCCGCAAAGAACTTGGAGGTGGACCAATGGGTGCGAGAAGAAGTTTGCAAACGCTATCGTGGCGTTATTCCTGCTGGTCGGCTGATGAAGATGCGATGGGTGCTCACTTTGAAAAGCACCGACAAGCCGGAAACAGCAAAGTGCAAAGCTCGCATCGTGCTGCTGGGGTTTACGGACCCCGACATCGAAGATCTCCAAACTTCAGCACCGACTATGACAAGACGGTCGAGACAACTCAGCTTGAACCTGGCCACATCCAAGAAATGGAGATTGGGAAAAGCCGATGCAAAATCCGCCTTCCTCCAGGGCACTTCCAATCAGAAAGAACGACACATCTTTGCCATTCCGGTACCCGAACTTGCTGAAGGACTTGGGATACCTCAAGGAGAAGCAGTTCAGATTCTCAAAGCTGCCTATGGCTTGGTGTCTGCCCCTCGAGAATGGTTCATCGAGGTCAACAGAGTGGCCACAGAGGATTGCCACCTGAGGCAGCTGAAATCTGACCCTTGCATGTAGGTTTTGGATGGTGAAGGAGAAAATGCAGAACCTGTGGGATTCATTGCAGCGCATGTGGATGACTTCCTCATTGCCGGCGACGTGACAGACCCGCGCTGGCGAGCAAGCTTGGAAGCCTTCAAAGGTGCCTTCAGATGGTCTCCATGGGAAGAGCCTCCCTACCTGCATTGCGGTGTGATGATCGACCAGCTGGCAGACTATTCCTTCCAGCTCGACCACTCCGAGTTTTGCACAGAGCTCAAGCAGATCGAGGTAAACAAGAACGTGGAGCATGTCACTGAGGAGGAGATGACCCAGTGCCGTGCTGTGCTTGGTGCTGCTCAATGGAGAGTTTTGCAGTCTGGCCCTCAGCATGCGGCCAAACTGTCTTGGCTTCAAAGCGCTCTTCCTGCATCCAAGCACAACAAGGACATCCTCCACCAGATCAACAAACTGTGCAGAGAGATCTATGCGCAGCGACATCTTTCAGTGCATGTGAAGCAGCTGGATGTGCGACGTCTTCGAGACCTGGCCATCATCGGATGGACCGACGCTGCCGTTGGTAACAGACCAGATTTGGCCTCGACTGGTGGTTATATCATCGGGATGGCTTCGAAGGAGATGCTTCAAGGACGACGTGGCTACGTCAACCCTTTGAGCTGGCGCAGCGGAAAACTACCTCGCGTCGCCAGATCGAGCTTGGCGGCTGAGGTGCAGTCCCTGGCAGAAGGGGAGCAAGAATTGATGATGCTGCGTTTCCAGTGGGCAGAGATCCTGGGCATCCCGGTGGACCTTCGGAAGCCGCACTTGGCGACTTGTCAGGTGCCAGCTGCATTGGTGGTGGATGCGAAAAGTGTCTATGATGCTGCAATGAAAGGAGAAACAGCGAGCTCAGCATACTCTATGAAAGAAAAGTATGCGGCGCTGGAACTGATGTCAGTGGCCGAGAACCTGAGGCTCCAAAACACGCCTCTACTTTGGGTGTCATCCGATGCCCAGTTGGCCGATGGTTTGACCAAATCATCAGCACAAGAGCTGATCAAAACCTTTCTACAGCAAGGCCAAACGTGGAATGTCAAATTCGATCCTCAGTTCATTGCCGCGAAGAAGAAGAAGAAGGAGGATCGCATGCAATCAGTGCCTGCGGACCATACGCAATCAATGCCTGTGGATCGCATGCAATCAGCGCCTGTGACCCCATCATCTAGTGAGTGGGCTCTTAGCGTTGTTCAAATGCTTCAGCGAACTCACGCACCTTTCGGCAACAGCCTTTTGGGCATGTGAGTGATTCAGCTGTCGCATGTCTTTTTCATATCAATTGCCTGCAGGTGATGAGTTTGCCATGAGTGCACATTCAAATCGCCTGTTATTTTCTGGCTTAAGGGACCCCTTTGGCCAATAGCTTTTAGCTGCAACGGCTACTTGCTTTGCTGGCGCCATTGCAGGCGCGACCTAGCCTGAGACAACTTGGGCGTGGAAAACTTCGGCCGCTGTGAGACTTGGAACTTCAGTGGGTTGAAGCGCTGCCAGTTACACACCGTAACCAGCGAACTATTCAAACCTCCATGGCTAGTGCGGGATTTTCCAGCCGGCCATGTTTGTTTGCTTACCAGAGGGGAGATCCATTCATATCTCAATACTATCAATGTCTGCTATATCTTGCTGTATCCCTATTACCATTACCAGAGGGTACATTGGGGTGCCCGTCAGTTTTTGCCGAGTTCTCACGCCTCAAGGGAGGGTACATGATTTGAGGCTATTATTACCAGGTAATATTACATGTATCTCAATATTGTCTCAATATTATCCCATTATTATCCCTATTACCAGCGGGTACATCCTGAGGTGATGCTGCCGGTGCTCCTGATGCGTTTGCTGGTGCTTCTGACCGCTGGCATCTGGCTAGGAGCCCAGGAACTGGCCGAAACATGTGCTGGAAAATCCCCTATTTTTGTTTTTTTTCCCCATGAATACCTCCATTTGTAGACGATTTTCCTAGCTGTAAACCTACATTTAGTTCGGGATTTTTCAGCTAGACACGTTTGATTACCGGAGGGTACATGGTTTGGCATTTGTGAGACACGCAGGATTGTCCATTTGTCCGGCCTCTATTAAACATGACCCCTGTATGCTGTATGATGTATAGAATATACTGTTACTACTATTTATTACTTACCGTTATTATTATTATTATTGTCATTGTTATTATCATCATTATAGTTATGTCATATTTTACAGATGTAAACTATGTAACATAATCATATGAAGAGGATTTTTACTTTCAGTATTTGATTTCTCAGAAACCTTTGTGTATTTGGATACTGTATATTTATTTTAGGAGCCCATATGCGGAGAGTGAATATCAGGGGAAAGGGATTTTTCTGGTGATATGCTGGTTTGATTTCCCTCTGGAAACCAAACCTGTCTGGAAATCTCATCATCAATTCAACTCGAAATCGAAGCTATGCCTTTTGTACCTGGGTCACAAGCATACACGGCCAGTAATCAGCTACGACCCGGCCAGCGCGAGGTTATTGGTGGCTGAGCTCGTTTGCTTGCCTCTTAGCATCATCCCGCCTCTAAGGCCTCCCTTGGACGGCCGATGGATTTTCGGTCGCGGGAACCAGCTGCCAAAATAGACAAAATGATCCCATAAATCACACTCAATACCAAGAACCCCCCGATTTTTCCTGCTGGTAAAAGCATCATTCTTGCGAGCTGAATCCTAATCAGCTCGATCCACTTTTGTTTGCCGTGAAATCCCAATTCCGTGATGCCTAAATTGTACTTGTTGCCTCACAACTGGTTTCTGTGGCTAAGTAAAACTTTCCCTAAGATATCCTATTTCCAGATATTTCCGAATATTTTTCAACTATCCCAGGAGAATTACAGTATATGAATTTTTCCCCAAGGGTTCACTCAGTCCAGTCCCTTCGCGAGGCGCCCAGTGCAGTGGCTCCTGAACTATGCTGGCTGCTGTCTTGCCTTGATTGCCCTGGGCATCTTGGCTTTGATGGTTTAGAGCACCCATAAAAGTGCTGATTTTGGGGATGGTGGATGAAATGGGGTTTACCCATTTTATGATCAATTTCCACTAGAACTTGGAGTTTCTGAAGTCATGGTTTGGGCCGAGTCCAAGTTCTCCTCCAAGCTTTTTTGGTCACTTTTGCTAGGAAACCAATGGTGAAATGGGATTCAACCAAGAGACATTGGGAACAAAAAGGGGATTTGAGCAGCGGAAGTCAGGATTTCACCAGCAATGGGAATTTTCATGTGGCACCCTGGCACCCCCAACAGACATCACAGCCATTTCTGGTCGAGTTGGGAAATGTTATTCAATTCAAGTCACAGTTGTAGAATTTTCGAGATCTTTGATTGCAGACAATGTGAAGTAACTAGTGGGAAGTCGAATTTTTCACTAGCAGAGAGTAGGGATGATTCAACCAGTAAGTTTTTTTTTTGACATTTTCAAGAGCCCAGTGGGATGGGTGAAACTCCCAAACTCTTGTCTACAGCGAGCTGGGAAGCTGACGACTTTCCACCATGATTGGATTGGTTAAAGGGAAAATCTACGGTTGACACCTCCATATTTTATGGAGAAAAACCATGGGTATCCTGTAGATTTTCCCTTAAACCAAGCCATTGAAACCCATTGAACCCTAGAGGCCCCAGACTTTGCAACAAGTGGTTGGAGAAACTTCCGAATTTACCCTCTGGTAAACTAACATAGCTATTGAAAATGGCCATTTATAGTGGATTTTCCCATTAAAAATGGTGATTTTCCATAGTTTTGTTAGTTTACCAGAGGGTATTTGTCCCACTTTTCCGAAGAGATAAGAATCAGCTGGAATGGCTGATTCGCTTTCCTTCCTGGCCATCCAGGTTTTTGGTTTGTTGCCGGCGGCCACTTGGCAGTCATGGATCTGATCTCACAGAGATGGGGCGGTTTTGTTGGTGAGACTCCCACCTTTGTTGGTTTTTTCGTTATGCGATCATTATTGCTGTTCATTGCAACTCTTACCCGAAAATTTGGTTGCTTTTTCTTAGTGTTCTACCATCATTTTTTGGTGATTTGTGGTGCTATCATCATTTTTTGTTGGTGATTTCTGGCTATATTCAACAAGCAGCAGAGACAACTAGCAACAAATGATGGCAACATACGGCAACAGCAACCAGAAAAACATGATTCACCTCTTCTGGGCGTCATTTCGTGCTCAGTGACACTTCAGGCAATCAGGTGGCAGATCATCGGAGGTTGAAATTGATGCCTCCCAAGGCCGCTGGGGATAAGGCCATCGTCCTGGTCATTCAACAGTGATTTCAGCCCCCTAAAAAATGACAGGCAAGTTGGTTCAAGACTGTCCGGGTGAATTCTATGGTTTATGGATGTTTATGATATATAGATATGTGGAAGTAGCTAACTCATGGGGTTTACACAGCAAGAAACAGAACTTTCTCCGCACCACCCCTAAAAGGTGGTGATGACAGAAGCCCAATGACTTGTTCTGACCATGGGTTAACGGAAGATGGTCTCTACCATCTACCATCTGAGGTAAAGTGAAGACTTTCATGGAATCTCAATTGAGGAAGTGGAGAGCCCCCCAGATAAGTAAGTCTCTGATTCTTTTTTTTTAGTCTCCAATCTACAAAATGACTGACTGGCTTCAAGTAGGAGCTTACCACGCAGGCGGATCTCTTCCATTCTTTTTAAAATGTGGGTATGTCATACGGTATGTCTAGAGGGAGGATTTACTCTGATATATGGCAGTTGAAAAAATGGCAAAGTGGGGAAATTGAAATTCTAAGCCTTCTAAGCCATTGGATTTTGGTGTAATGTGGTAAACACAACCAGGAACCTATCATTTGGGAATGAATTTACCACCCCGTTTATGGGGATATTGGGGATGCTTTATTATTGGGTTTACCACATTACACTATTTTTTGGAGCAAACCCAATGGTGTCACAGGTTTCAGACAGTTTTCCAAACCCAAACCCGGCGGCATTTTGACGCGTGTTTCCTGTCCATTGTTTTGGCGAACCTGCTAGTGCTAAAGAGGGTTATCAAAGATCAACTAGTTTGATTGGTAAAGCTGAGTTTTCAATATGATCTTCAATTCAAAAAAACCTGCGCTTCACACTGGTTGCCAGTATGACATTTCCAGTAACCGGTTATTCATCCACTTACGCTCTGGCAAACATGGCTGGCTGATAAAATCCCTTCTCGAAGTTTTTTTTTCGCTGGGAGAATCTTTGAAGAAAAATTGGTTGATTCCAATTACCAATTTTCTACTTTCCCAAAAAAAATCCAATTCATTTCCAATTTTGGTTGATTTCCAATTGCCAATTGGTTGATTTCCAATTTTTGGCAAACTAGTGGTATGATTACCAGAGGGTATCCGCCAACATCAGCCAAACATAGACCCGTCAGGTCAACAGATCCAGCTGCTTCGACACTTCCAGAGGTGCTTTGGTCCTGGCCAACATGCACGGAGCTGAGGGGGCAGAGGGATCGATCAAATGGTGGGTTTCGTAGAGGATGAATGGCATGTTCATAGGATTTAGCCTCTGGTTATGTCAAAATAGCTATTGAAAATTGCGCATTTAGTTCGTTGATTTACCGAACTTAAACATGGGTGGATTTTCCATAGCTATCTTAGTTTACCAGAGAGGGTACCTGGGGAAAATGGTAGTTCAATGGGATAGCAATTTTCCATAGGGAAAACGATGATTATGTAAGATAGATATGGAGCAAATTGCCATAAGGTATTTTTATCAACCAAGGGGGGGTACACAATTAATGAGAAATAGGGATTTATATAATGGTATCTACAAACAACTAAATATGATGGGGTAAAACCGTAAAACTATCTAGAATGTATGGATTGTATAGGATAGAAATATTTTTTTTACCCACCAACTGATCATTTTCGCTATGGATTTCCATATCTATGTTGATTTACCGGAGGGTATCCAAAACCTTCAGAATTTGAGCAGCGAACATAATTGAGAATGAAGACTCTTGGAGTTTGATCAGCAAAAACATCATGTAGTGAAGAATGGGGAGATGACCACAAAATGATGACGCTTGGTTGATGGTTTTGTTGATGTTACATGAGCATGAGGGACTAATCCGAGATGGAAACCCAGCCCTCAACCAGCATGCTTAAGGATGACAGGTTAGGCACTGCTCAAGTGGAATCCCTTGATTTTCTGGTCCCCCAAAGTGTCTATTCCTGCAAGCACGACATGGCTCAATGAGTAACTGTTGGTTTGGTCAGTGGTAGATTGGTCAAGGTTCCCCGTAAATTGCTGGTGATGCTCCAGAATTGGAAAGCCGTCGTTCCTGCGATGCCAAGGCAGGGCTTGACAGATGTCTTGTACCTGGGGATGAAGTTGGGATCTCTGCTCCCGGGTGTTGCAAGCTGCTGCTGGAGCACCATCATATGGGACCATCTTTTTTGGAGAAAGGTTATCGATTTGCCAACAATTTTGGTGCGAAAACTACAGGGTGCAGAACACACACACACACCACAAAAATATCGATTTTAGTTAAACGATGCTGTTGAAGAGTGTTGACATGATTTTGTTCTGTCTGTCGCTCAGGTTGTGTCCCGTCTTCGTTTTTCCCGCCGCCGACGGCTCGTCGGGAGCTCAAGTACCGTTTTGGCCATGCCAAGTTGGATTCCCGCAGGGTGCCTGGCAAAACAGGACTTGCTAGTGAAAGGTATACGGTATTATATACATATTACATACACTATATAATATACATATTTCCATATGATATATATATATATATTTCCATATGATATATATATAAATATGATATATATATACATATATATATAAATATGATATATATATATATATGGTATATATATATATGTATATATATATATAGCATATGTAAATATGTACTATAATGGCCAAGCCATCAATGAATCACCCATCTTTCGGTTCCCTGCCCCAAAAGGCCCATCGCCTACTCTCTCCTGGGCGCCTTGGCCCGAGCTGCTGCGGAGAGGCTCCCTCCGCCGTCGGCCACGTTGGGAGCTCCCAGGGCCTTGGTTGGCGCAGTCAATGGGGGGAATTCAGCAACAGAAATGGTGATTTCATGGGATTTTCATGGAAATAAATGGTGATTTCATGGGATTTTCATGGAATTAAATGGTGATTTCATGGGATTTTCATGGAATTAAATGGTGATTTCGTGGGATTTCAGGGATTTTTTAGTAGGATTTCATGGAACTCCCCCAAAAAAGTAGATGGTTCAGTACATGGTTGAGCTGGGTGAATCCCACAAAATCTGATGTTGATGATGATTATTATGATGATGATGATTATCATTATTATTATTACTACTATTATTATTATTATGATGAGGACAATAATCTTCAGAGGATATTTTTTTTCAATCGAACTGCAATTCTTTTGAGTTGCTCCGTGGTAGAAACATTTTGCCATCACCTCACCTGGGTGTGCATCGTTTTTCTTTTGCACATAGCAGTATCTTTGGAGTTTTCAGGCTCGGGCGTTCATGGTTGCAGGGTAGGGTCTCCATGGAAAATTCCTTCTGTGTTTGGATGCAATTGCAAATCCTTGAAAACCCTGAAAGGGCTGAGTCTGAAGAAAAGAAACTGGGGGTATACTACCGGAACTACCAGGAGCCTGAACAGCCAACTGCTAGGTGGATTCTTGGTGATGGAATGTATGGAACCCCCGGGCGCCAGAGACGCTTTCGATATGGTTCTAGAGTTGTTTGGTTCGGGTGACATTTTTTGGATTTGAACATAGGCTACCCCAAGATCTCATGGTTGATCATGACTTTCCCATATAGAAATGCAATTTTCTGTATCCACATTATCCACTCACTTAGCTACGCCAAGGCAAACCCTGCCGGAGATCCTTCAGGCTGCGCATGCAGGCCAGACACATTGGGCCAAGGTAGTCCAGTTGTGATCGTCCCAACACGGCCAGGCTGGAAGGGCCCAGTGGTGATGTTTCCGGAGGGCGCGCGGAGCAATGGAAGTGCCATTCTGGTGCCTCGGGGCCGAGGGATTTTTTCGTGTCGGGACTGGAACTTATCGCGTGGTTTGGAATTGTGATGGTGAGGGTGGTGTTTTTTTTTAAATTGAAGGCTGTTGTTGAAGAAGTCTTCTTCTCCTCCTTCTTCCTGTCCTTGTTTGCTTGGGTGGAAGTGCTTTTTTTGTTCTCATTGTCATGAATGAACTCGTGGTCCTTCAAGATTCAACTGTGGGCACAGGCCTGGAAACCTGGAAGCTTCAAGGGCTTGGAAGCGATGGACAAGTGGGGTGCACCCAGTTGACTCGAGAAACGGTGGACCAGCTGGGTCACGTTTCTGCCATACTCTTGTCTCATCCAATATTCATAGCCATCATAGCCCACTTGGGGCACAAATACGGCCATACTTTCGGGGATACCCTCTGGTAAACTAACATAGCAATGGAAAATCCACCCATGTTTAATGGGAAAATCCACTATTTCTATGGCCATTTTCAATAGCTATTTTGACATAACCAGAGGCTAGTCCCCTACCCCAAGGCCATGTCCTGGGACTATATGGGACCCATCGACTCCGTAGGCCCTACGGAACTGCTCTCGTGGCCCTGGAGTATTCCAAACGGGGCGCCTATACGCCCCATCACACCGTGGGCAGTGCGCTTCAGCGTGGGCTCCTGGGCTCCTGGTCGCTACGAACATGGGCTCCACGTCCCCAATGAACAACAGCCCAGGGGTTGATGAATCCGGGGTTGATGTTTTTCTATGATTTTTTGATATTTTTTGTACCCCCCTTTCTTGGTGGTCGTGAATTTGGATATTGAACAACTCCCCGTTTTGGTGGGGGTTGGTAGCAAACACCCTTGTCTCAGCGGGCATGTTGTTCTTAGGTCACAGCCTGAAATAGGCACAAGTTTTTTTTTCCACACCATTTCAGAAGATTTCTCGGTTCTCTTTCTTTGGGGTCTACTGTAGTCTAGTAATGAAACTCTCAAACAGAAGGTACGACCGGTATTCTTGAGGCCGTAATCGGTTGATTCTGGTGGGTTAAATCTGTGATTGGGTCATGAAATACGAAGAACGATCAGTTAATCTGCGGCTTCCAATGGCCTTCACTTTAGAGCTCAGACCCATCCACACATTTTGACGCTTGGGACATGGTGGCATGGTTCCACTGCTGCTTGCTGGACCTGTATGATCGCGACTCCAGGATTGAAGTTGGCCAGGGAATTCCTGGACTTCTTCCGTTGGGTTGAAGACTAGGGTTGGTTTATGAACCATTTGCCAAGATAAAGACTGAGAAGAGTTTTCTCATACGGACTCACCCTTGCCCCTAATCTTAATTTTATTCCGCCAGCTTCCTTAAATTGAACAGATCCAATACGAAACTGGGCGTTCTTGGGACATATCTTAGTTTTTTGGGAAAGGGATTCCCATCTGGGCAGTATCCTGCAGCCGCAGAGGCACGTGCTTCACCTGTCATTCCAACCGTTTCACACCGTTGGGACCCGAGAGAAATTGGAGGATGGGGAGGAGACTTGGAGATGGCCAGGAGATGGATTTATCCTGGCCAAAGAATGGGGGAAGTTCTGTTCTTCTGGGAACCCAAGTCTTCATATGTTTTCATCACAGTTCCCATTTTTTTTGGGAACCCAATTGTTTTTTTCTTGGGAACCCAATTTTGAGACACACCCACTATTCTTTTCTTGGGAATTACGGATCGAGATTTAAAATCGATCCATGATTTTGTCAATTTTCTTCACTAGCCATCCCATTGTTTTGGATCAAAATTTTGACCCATCCTCACATCTCAAGAAAGTCTATTCTGTTTATTTTAAGATCTGAAAACTAGGGAGGGTCTCTGGGAACACGTCATTTGCACATGGCCACGCGTGTAGCCGTGGGGTACATGCCAGGCTGAGAATTTTCAACCAAGGTGGGTGCATGTCCTATCAGTGGGTCATGTCATGTCCCATCAATTCCAGACATGTGCATCGGGTCCCACTGAAATGAAGTTCAACATTTTCTCGATACAGATGCGGCCAACCACCACGAGTACGACAAGGTCAGTTGTATCAGGCATGGGTGTGGATGGAAATTTCATTCCCAGAAACTGACAGATTTATTCACCCCGCTTCGCGTGGGGTGGCCGCCCACACCGCAGGTTTATTTCGGTCCGTGAGAGGGGCTAAGGGTGGTTTTCCCCCGTGGGGGCTCTTCAAGCTAAGAAGTTTCAATAAGAAATCCTTCCAAAACATTGTTTTTGACAGTGTTTTTCCAATGTTTCCAGTCAAACAGACGGTAATTTACACGTTTTTTTGCCATAAAGGCAGTAAATCCTTCCAAAACATTGCTTTTGACAGTGTTTTTGTAATGTTTCCAGTCAAGCATACGGTAATTTACACGTTTTTTGCTATAACGTCAGTCCAAAACACTTGTTTTTGCAGTGTTTTCAATGCTCTGGCATCCAAAAACCCTGCAAAATCTTGCTATGTACAATGTTTTTTTCATTTTTGGCCGTTTTTCCATTGCCGGAAAGCTACCAAAATGACCCAAAATTCCATTTCAATACCCTCTTGCGCTCAGACACCCAAAAATCCTCGAAAAATGTCGAAAACACCCCCGTATTCTGGTCTCGGTGCGAAACCGTTTTTGGGCCCCCCCCCCCCAGCTAAAGCTGATATAGCGACTGCTATATTAACAAATGTCATTGAGCATTTAGTGTTGCTGTTGCCCCCCAATAAGCACGCCTTCACCGCCAAAGCGGTGTGGGCGGATTTTTGGCATTCTTGCTACTCAACTCTCCAAATCTGGGCTACCCATTTTCGATTCCTACCATTCTTTTCCAACGAGGTGTCATCGTTCCAAAGCATTTTGCTTGGTGGATCGTCCACCATCCCCACAACCCTTGAGGTCCTCCAGGTGATAACCAACCCAGTTTCACCATGTTTCACCAACCTTCTGCGGTTGCGAAGATTTCAACATGACCAATAAACATTGGAGGATTTTTTCAGGGTCCAACGAGTCCAGTTTTTCAGAATCCCCATATCAACACGTCATCAACACATCTCCCTGCTTGCTGAGGTGAGAACTTCTTGGTTGCCGGCCAGTGACGTGGCGTGGGACCCTGGCTTTGCATGGCAGAGATCTGTTAGTGTCACCAAGTGGAGAAACCAGTGAGACACACAATACAGTATTGACAATACACATATAGAAACACAGAGAGATGCGGTTGCATGTGGGATTGAAATGGATTGAATGCTGATGGTTACTTGTAAAACAAAGGTTGACATTTTGAGGCACTCCGGAGCGGCAAGTCCCAGTTTGGGTCGGCTGAAATTATTGGCAATTTCTTCGTGTTTTTTTCTTGGCGAAAAATCATGGGGGCGAAGCTTTTCCCCTGAAAGCATCAGGGTGAACATATACCCCGACATACTGTGGACATCCATTATATAATGTACATTTCAGCTCCATCCATTTGATGTGGGACCAAAAATGGGGGGAACATGGCGATCGAACGATGGAACAACCCAAGGCAGTGGCTGTGAAGGGCAAAGCCTTAGGGGACAGCCTCACCCTGCTGCACACGGTGCGCTGGTCCTGTGGGAAGATAGTATCGGGGTGCCAATGGAGCCGCCAAAGGCGAGTCTTTTTCAGGGTCTGAAACTCGACCCACATGGAGATGAAGGATGAAGGGAAAATCTACAGGAAACCGATGATTTTCTGGCCGAAGATGTTTTCTTATTGTATGTTTTCACACAAGTCACGAAAGGTAGCGTCAGCTACCTGAGTTCTCCGTGCTTCAGCACAAGCTTAGGGGGTATTGGGGGGCCAGCCCACGGAATTCATGGAATTCTCGCCGTTATGTATTGAATATCAATTATAAGGGGGGGGGGCCCGTACGTTCGACACTTGGAGGCTATATCGCAAGCCAAGAGGCTATGGATCAGTACTAATCAAAAGGCAGCGAAGCAAACCATAGGCGCAAAATGGACGCAACTGATTCCGCCTGCTTCGGGCCATAATAGGCTTTCCAGAAAGACATGCCGATGAAGCCGCTGGAACCGCTGGCGCCGATCAGGCCAATTGAGCCGATGAGGCCGCTGGAGCCGCTGAGGCCGATGGAGCCGATGAGGCCGATGGAGCCGATGAGGCCGATGAGGCCGATGGAGCCGATGAGGCCGCTGGAGCCGCCGATGGAGCCGATGGATGGAGCCGATGAGGCCGATGGAGCCGCTGAGGCCGATGAGGCCGATGAGGCCGATGGAGCCGCTGGAGCAGCTGGAGCCGATGAGGCCGATGAGGCCGATGAGGCCGATGAGGCCGATGAAGCCGATGACGCCGATGGAGCCGCTGAGGCCGATGAGGCCGCTGAGGCCGATGAGGCCGATGAGGCCGATGGAGCCGATGAGGCCGATGGAGCCGCTGAGGCCGATGAGGCCGATGAGGCCGATGAGGCCGATGAAGCCGATGAGGCCGCTGGAGCCGACAGAGCCGCTGGAGCATATGAAGCCGCTGGAGCCGATGGAGCCGATGAAGCCGATGGACGCGAAAAAGCCGATGGAGCCGATGAGGCCGATGGAGCCGATGGAGCCGGAGCTGATGAGGCCGATGGAGCCGATGGAGCCGCTGCATGATGAGGCCGATGGGGCCGATGAGGCCGATGAGGCCGATGAGGCCGATGGAGCCGCTGGAGCCGCTGGAGCCGATGAGGCCGATGAGGCCGATGGAGCCGATGAGGCCGCTCAAGCCGCTGGAGCCGATGAGGCCGATGAGGCCGATGGAGCCGCTGGAGCCGCTGGAGCCGATGAGGCCGATGAGGCCGATGGAGCCGATGAGGCCGCTCAAGCCGCTGGATGGAGCCGATGAGGCCGATGGAGCCGATGAGGCCGATGGAGCCGCTGAGGCCGATGAGGCCGATGAGGCCGATGAGGCCGATGAGGCCGATGGAGCCGCTGGAGCCGATGAGGCCGATGGAGCCGATGAGGCCGATGGAGCCGCTGAGGCTGATGAGGCCGACGAGGCCGATGGAGCCGCTGGAGCCGATGAGGCCGATGAGGCCGATAGAGCCGAGGCCGCTCAAGCCGCTGGAGCTGATGAGGCTGATGGAGCCGCTGGAACCGTTGAGGCCGATGGAGCCGATGAGGCCGATGGACAGGTCGATGGTCAGGCCGATGGACCAGGGGCGCCACAATGCAAAGCACCCATGCTCTGAAAGTGGCGCTTGGCGCCGGAGATAAATCCTATGCAGTATTATATTGCCAGTATAAAGAGACTTACAGCATGTATCGAGACACCTTAACCCATTCCACCCTGCCCAAGAAGTGGTGCCGCAAAATCGACGCCAACCGTCACTGGCACGGGGGGGCCCCCCCCCCCGAAAATGGTCATGGGTTCAATTCCCACGGGTGACGCGGTCACGGGCCCCCACATTAGAGGCACACTTTCCATGAGGGAGATGTCCCTGTAGTCCAGCATAATTGGTATGCTTCAGCCTCAATAACAGTTGCTGCAAGGGGTCTTAAAAAGGGGTTTTAAATAAACCACTTTTCGTGCATCATTTCACGCTGCACAAGACACCGTATCATGCAGTCATGCTCTGGATAAAATCATCTTAGACTGCGCAAAAACGTTTTTGGTGTATCATCTTAGGGGCGCAGCATTTTGACACCACTCCTCTCCCACTACACTACCTTTCGTCCGCCTCCGCCTGCTCTCAAGTTCCTATATAGGGGCCCAAAAACACTTTTCGAAGGTAGCGACGCTAGCTAAGCAATTGATCTATCCCCAGATGCTGTGCTGCACCTTTTTTTTTCGCGCAAAAATACCAGTAGCTTGCAACACTAGCAATGCTAGCCATATTTCCGAGGCAGTTGTTTTTAAATTTCCATAGATTTTGGGAAAACAATGTTCAGATTTTGGGAGATATATTCCATAAGCCATAGTTGTTCAGATTTTGTTTATCCTTTTTTTGTTCCTTCTCTTGGCCGTTATTGACCTCAATCCCCCCATCTGCTCCAGGTGCTTTCCAGGATGGTACCTGGAGTTGGGGCCATGGTGGGTCGGGGATGGGTCAAAAAAAGGGCGTCCTGGGCCAAATTTAGGGCTTTTTAAGGGGAAAACATAGTGACAATCATGAGGTTAGAATCAAAACTCAATTTAGTTGAGTTTTTTTTTGAAACTCTAAACCGTAGGAGTTTTTTGGGTGCCATGATGCTTAAAAAACCACAAGTGGGTCAGTACCTATCGAAGCATCGAGCTCGGGGTGAACACCCAGGGGACTCGAGGCCTTCGACCGTTGCACCTAGCTTTTTGGTGCTCAGGCAGTGGCGAAAGGAAATATGAGGAATCCTGATATAGCTGAATAAAAATGGTACCACCAGATATGAACTGGGAAAAATCCACGGAAATGGTTGGTGAATGGACCATACACTTTCAGTCATTCTGAGAGAGAAACACATTCTTTCGAAGCGAACAAAAAGAGGATTGTTTCAAAGCGAACAAAAAGAGGAATACAAAATCGGATGTATTCATTGTTTTGAGGCATTGCTACCCTCAGGATTTCATCATTCCCTCCAAATTCCAGGGGTGGAGAGATATTCAAACTGACATCACACGGTCGCTTGGACTTAGCCCCATTTAATGTTGATGATGCAAACATGTCTGTTGGTTATATCCCGTTCTTGTTGCTTGTATCTCCCAACCACCATTTACAGTTCAGATCGATACTATTCTCACTTATCATTTATCATCCCCAGGTTTGGTCGGTATACCTCCCTAGTTCTTGTTGCTCTTCCTGGCTTCAAAATGAATACAGTTTTGAGCCATTGGATGGCAGTGGGCAGGTTGGTGGTTTCGTTTTAAGCCCAGGCGGTGGAAGTGGAAGTCAATGCGGACAAGCATAAGGACTTCATGGAGCATCACGGCGGCAGATAGTGGCGATTGACGGAGTTATATCCCCATGATTTCATGATGATTTAACCACAAGAAAAGGATATTTCAACCAGAGATCATGATAGAGACTGTTTTTTTTCTAACATGTACATCATATACTAACTGTACTAACTGGTTCAATGGGGATCATGGACTCATACAGATACCCTGGTCATGAGTAGCTTTCAGGGATACAGAGGGCACGGTACAAATCCGATTTGCCTACGGTCCATCAATGAGGACACGCGGATTTTGTCATTCCTAAGTTAAGTTTAATCATTATAGCAGGGCCCAGACTGGGAGTACTGCAACGCATAATCACGCAACCTAAGGAAATGTACGTATGTGAATATAATTGAATAATATATGTATACAAAATTGTGCAAATGATACAGCTTCCCAAAGGTTCCGAGCGTTGCGGTACATTGAATTTTGAAAAGACAGAACATAGTCACACGGATGAGTTCTGTATGGATACATACAGACATTCGCACATGTACATAGCTTCCGCACGATAGCCATTTCAAAGGGGAACTCCATGTGCAATCGCAGTGGGGTCAGTCCAAAACCAGATTGGATTGCTGGTTTTGGATCCAGTCGAGTACACGAATTCGAGTCTACGAGGCTTTCATTTAGGGCGGTTATGAAGTTATTGAACATGTCCCCTTGGGGAGATTCCAAACCATTCCCCTTGGGTCTCCCTTCCCAGAATTGGATGATGGGACCGGTTCAGCCAGGTTTTGGGAGGCCTCGCAGCGGAAAGGCTACACCAAAGCGGCCGCCAAGAGTGCGGCATCCAAGGCTTCAAAGGCTGCAAAGGTGTTGGGAAACTCAGAGCAGAGGACCCTGGTAGTTGATGGTTTTATTTTGGTTTTACATTGGTTTTATATAGTATGTTTATAAGTTTTATGTTTGTTTTATATTGGTTTGGCTTATATTGGTTATATAACTGTGCATAGCTGAGAATTATCAATGTGCCTCGCCGCTGCTCAAGACTGATGAGCTACCTGACTGTTCTCTCTAACTTGGGGGTCTTTGCCAGGGAAGCTGTCAACACAAATCTCTGGGGCGTGGCCTGCCCTTTTCACTGCCAGGGGTCTAGCCTGTCTTTGGCCATTGCCTCCCTGTTGCTTGGGTTCATCCTGGGCGTTTCTCTTTGTATTGCCATTGGACTTTGGATTTTCTTCCCTGTCACTCTGAATCCTCCAGTGTCTCCGTCTGTTCAGCCTCCTGCTAGGGGTTTTCAGGCGGAATCCATCCGTCGACGTTTGCAGGGGTACCGAGCTTTGCATGAGCCAACCGGGTAGGGAACTGTCAGATCTGACAGCTGCACTGAACCGTTTGTCACTTGCAATTGAGGGTCAAGCAGAGAGGAACAATACCCGGGACTGGGAGCTCGTCGGCCAGGAGAGTTCCACGGCTCCTGCACCCCAGTTGTCTTTGGAGGAAAAGCAAGCTTTGGTGGCCTTCAACGACTACGAGTCTCTTGCTGAGCTACTGCCTGCTTGTCCTGCTAGGCTGCTTGGTGTTTGTGAACGCCTACGAGGTGGAGAGTACAGTGCTGAATGCCGGGCTAAGCGTGCCTGGGAAGCTGGTTATTGGGCTTCTTTGGCCTTGCGTGGCAAAATTAGAGTTCCTAGGAACACTTTGCCCCTTGACTTGCCCAAGTGCGTGTACATCATCCTCAAAGCTCCAGGACTTTCTGTTCCTACCAGGGTCTCCAGAGCAGGAGATCTTTCCAGATTGGTGGGCAGAGTTGATTCCAGCAACGACTGCATCTTCCACGGCTTCCCATCCCTTGCGGAGGCACAGACGTATTCAGAAGCTGCAGGGTTCTCTTTGCCATGTCAGCACATGTTCAATTAGAAGTGCCAGAGGACGCAGATCTCACAGTTCCCATTCGAGCTCTGCTAACATGGCCACCTCACGAAAGTTCCCTTTTGCACATTGTTCAGACTTTTGTTATCATGAGGCGCCCAGGAGGGCTCATGCTTGCTTTGCCAGAAAATGTGATCGAGCCAGCCTCCTTGCAGCCTTTCAGCGTGGTCCCAGAGGACGGCACAGAGCCTCTGGTTGGCCCAGTCAAAAACTTTGTGGTTCCTTTGATGTTGTCCCAAGACGACGGAGGCTTGGAACGTTCCGAAGAGATGGTTGGAGTACAGGTGATAGATATGAGCCTCCCCGGGGCCTTGAACATTTTGTCGGCCTATCCGGAGGATGGAGAAGATATGGATTTGGTTTCAAACTTTTCTCATCTGGATATCAATGCGAGGCCCAGCTTTGGCGATCTTCTCCCTATGGTGGTTGCCTGGATAGGGGAGGAGACAGAGGAGCGGCTTGCTTTTTACACTGCGGACGAAGGGCCTCAGTCCAGTGCCAGTCCAAAAGCCAAAGCAAAAGCTCCGCATACTTTGCCAGATGGTTCTACAGCGCCCGGAAAAGCAAAGAGCGCTGCAAAGAAACCTACGGTTGCAACATTGTCCCAACAGATGGAAACAGTGCTGGCAGCCCTTCCTATGATCACAGACCAGTTGTCTGCCCTCACTATGAAGCAGGATATGCTGGAGAGGCAGCAGAGGTCAGCTCCATCAGACCAGCCTGGCTTCCGGCCCATAGCAGCTGGGAAGTCAGCGCAGCCGATTTCAAGCCTGCTCAGAGGGACTCCCAAGAATCTTTCCACTTTGGCGGCGGACTTGGGGCCCCCTCCAAAGACAAGGGCTACTGGTGGGCTCACTGTCCCACTGTTGCCAGAGCAAGTGATGGAGGAGGACGAGCCAGTGGATCCTATGCAATCAGAGGTCGCAGAGGGGTTGGGCTCTCCGATGGCTCAGTTGTTGGTGGAGCAGGGCCGCGTTTTGGCAGCCTTAGCCTTAGTCAGTCAGATGCAGGCTGGCAGCACAGACCCTATGTCAGACCTTTCCTCCACAACACCCACCATGGGCGTCAAGGGCACCTTGGCCCGCGAAAAGATGCAGCGCGAGCTGGCAGCTGGAACAGGGGCTTTCTTTCTCAAAGTTTGCCAAGCCATACAGAGGAGGGTAAACCCAGCGTCAAGGTTGGCTACAAATCACGAAAGGTAGCGTCAGCTACCTGAGTTCTCCGTGCTTCAGGACAAGCTTAGGGGGTATTGGGGGGCCAGCCCACGGAATTCATGGAATTCTCGCCGTTATGTATTGGATATCAATTATAAGGGGGGGGGCCCTCCCCCCCCCGAAAATGGTCATGGGTTCAATTCCCACGGGTGACGCGGTCACGGGCCCCCACATTAGAGGCACACTTTCCATGAGGGAGATGTCCCTGTAGTCCAGCATAATTGGTATGCTTCAGCCTCAATAACAGTTGCTGCAAGGGGTCTTAAAAAGGGGTTTTAAATAAACCCCTTTTCGTGCATCATTTCACGCTGCACAAGACACCGTATCATGCAGTCATGCTCTGGATAAAATCATCTTAGACTGCGCAAAAACGTTTTTGGTGTATCATCTTAGGGGCGCAGCATTTTGACACCACTCCTCTCCCACTACACTACCTTTCGTCCGCCTCCGCCTGCTCTCAAGTCTTTCAGAAGTGGGAGATGTTTCACTATTGGGCTACCTAGAGAGGTACGGAGGGTTTGGCCAGAATCGAGAGCTTGGTATGGTTCAATGGTCTCTAGGTCACGTCTTCGATGCCATGGCCAAGGAAGAATGGAATCTCGCGCGCGACCACCTCGCCCTTTCGGCAGTGATGGTGGAGCAGGCCGCTTTGGACTCCAACCGGTGGAATCTTGCCTGGTTTCTGAGGTTGTTAGACGACCCGCCGCAGAACCTTTGGCTGAGCAGAGGGCAATCAGCGACAGGGGGCAGGAGGCCCTTTGCGCCACTTTGCGTCCCCAGCTGGACCACAGCTGCCTTGGCCTATATGAAGGAAAGCGAGGTTCTACAGTCAAAGAAGGGAGAGTTGGTGGGGGCCCCATCGCGAGCAGCGGGTTCAGAAGACGCGGCTCCAAACCCAAAAGCTCCAAAGCGCCGCCCGGGCCGTGGCAAGGGCAATCAGGCCTCCCAGTCCTTGCAAGATCAGGAGAAAGCTTGAAGTGCGCAGCGGAGCCTATGCCAGAAAGCTCAGAGCTCATCTCAGCTGAAGATGACCTTCTTCAGCCTTTTTGCATGTCCCATTTCAGTTCAGAGCGACAGGAAGAAGATAGCGTCAATGGTAATCATGACCATCCTCCTGATCCTCATCCCAGCAAAGTTGGTTTGTGCTCTCGAACAAGGAGTGAGGGCCGCAAGGTCACAAAGACTAGAGGCAGAATTCACCGAATTTGCAATCAAGTTCCCAAGTTTCAAGATGAAGTGGATGACATTGCAGGTTTTTCATTTACGTTTAGAACTTGGTGCATGTCATTGTCGAGATGGGTCCTGCGGTCACGTACTGGATTTGGATTTTTCCTGTCTCAGACTCTCAGCCTTTCAAGGGACGGGCCACAAGCCCCTCCTACCGCCTTGTTTCCTCTGCCGATGCCTTGCGAAAGGCCATATGCAGCAGGCCCTGTTGGATTCAGTAGCAGATTGAGCAGATCTCAAGCAGTTGACCGTGCACTTCATGTCATTGTCTGTGCTGTGAACTTTATGTATTGGTCTCGCTCTTTGCCCTCTCTGGATTTGATAAGGAGGCAGCCAAACGAGATTCAAGCAAGGGCTATCTCGCACTTGAGACTGCTTTTAGAGGCGTGTGACCACGGTGAGACAGTGCAGGTCTCCACCAGTGGAAGACGTAATTTGCAGCTAATGGCTCGTCTTCAAGAACTTGCATTGGCGGCAGAATCTCTTGGGCTGTCATCCAGCCCTTATCAAGGACATTCAGGAGAACATGCAGTGCCAGTAAACAATGATGCTTTTCCTCAACTCAGCCCCTTCTCAAATTTGGTCTCAGAACGACTGAAAATCACTGGAAGGGGTCATTGGGATGCGTCTCAGTACATTGAGCCTGAGTTTTACATGGCCCTGCAAGAACCACAATCCATTGAACTCAGCGAGCCCATTTTTGATAGAGGCGTGCCAAATTTTGCAGTGGACCAGCCGGCCACCGTTTTGAGCCTTTTCAAGAAGTGGGATGACCTGGGGCTTTTGATTTTGCATCCAGCAGATAGCATCACCACAGGTGAATCTGGCCGTGTAAAGATCTTTAATGCCTACAAGTCAGCAGAGGTGGACCGTCAGATTGGAGACCGGAGGGAGAGGAACGCATGGGAGTTTCGTATGCCAGGCCCTTCGGCCCAACTGCCTGTCGGGCCGCTCATTGGCCGCCTGGTGGTGCCTCCTGGGAGCGGACTGAAAGTTTGCATTACAGACCGGTCAGATTTTTATCACCAGATTGGGGTGTCCTTTGAGCGAAGTAGGACCAACATTGTCTGGCCGGCTATGCCCCTGCAATCTTTTGTTGAGTTCAAGGCTTACCAGAAGTACTGCCAGAGAGCCTCCAGCCATCGCAAGCGGCCGGATCGCATGGTTTTTGGTGATGACTTGAATGGGCATCGGCCCCAGACTTGGTCAACGGATCCAGCGTGTATGGTCTACGGTGGTTTTGGCGCTGTCCTTCAAGGGGACCATTTGGGTGTTGAGATAGGCATTTCAGCCCATGTTGGACTTCTTCAACAGCATGGACTTTTAGCTGACAAAGGGCGTTTGGTCATGGGCTCGTTGGTGAGGCCAGCAGATGTTTATCAGGGATTGGTCATTGATGATTTTTTCTGCATTGCTCCGGTTCCTTTGGCTGAGCTCAGCCATGACTACAGTGGCCCTCCTAGCGCAGCCAGGCGTGCGTTTGACAAAGCAAAGAAGGTCTATGCAGAAGTTGGCTTGGCTGGATCGGATGCGAAGGATGTGATTGACAAGAGCCTCACGACAGTTGTTGGGGCCGAGGTTGATTCACGTGCAAAAGTTGTCAGCAAGGGCATTTTGCCTGTTGGAGCTCCTGCGGCAAAAAGACTCTCCTTGTCTTGGATTGCAGCTTGCGCTAGCAGATATGGTTGGACTTCAGACTCTCTTCATGCGTCTTTGGTCGGAGGCCTGACTTCAGCTTTTTGCTTCAAAAGGTGCAGCATGTCTATTCTGAATGAGCTCTACAAGGTGATTCCTGCCGAGGAGCTGAACACAGAGAAGCCAAAACTGAGGGCGTTGAGCCGCTCTGCAGCAGAGGAGCTCATTTTGAGTGCGGTTCTTTTGCCAGTTCTGGTCTCAGACGTGAAGGCCCCTTTTCATGAGTGGATTTATGCGTCAGATGCCTCGACCAAGATGGGAGCTTTTTGTGAAGCACGCATCAGTGAAAATCTGGCGCATCCTCTTTGGCTTGCTGGAGATTTTAAAGGGGCTCGAGTCAGTTTGGACTCTTGGCAGAAAGTTGTCCTCAGAGATTGCAATCACCTGGGGGAGCTTGAGTCAGAGTCTGAGGAGGTTGGGCCAGAACCACAGCCTACAGCTGCATCTCCCGAGAAGCCTCTGGCGCAGTTCTATGACTTCATTGAGGTTTGTGGTGGATCAGGCGTTGTCTCAGATGAGGTGGCAAAGTGGGGCTTTACGGTTGGGCCCATTATTGACTTGACCTACTCTAGGCAATACGATGTTGTTAACCTGAGAGTTGTGGAGTGGCTGCAGTTTCTGATTACTCAGAGGAGGGTTCGCGCCTTGATGCTGGAACCTCCGTGCACCACCTTCTCAGCAGCAGCATATCCACCATGCAGGAGCTACAGGGTCCCAAGAGGCTTCAACCAACTGCTGAGCAAGGTTTGGATTGGCAACAGGTTAGCCTTTACATGTTTGATGCTTCTGATGCTTGCGGCTCACCACTACGTGATTGGCTTGTTGAAGACGCCCAGACGTTCAAAGATGGCATGGTTGCGTGAGTGGCTAGCTTTGTTGGAGTTGCCAAATGTTGAGGAGACCTTTACTGCCTCCTGTTCTTTCATGTCAATTTTTCAGAAGGAGTTCAGGTTTTTGACATGCAACATGCGGCCGCAGAGCATCTGCAAGCCTTGCACTCGGGATCACAAGCATGTCCGCATTGAGGGTCAGCTGACAAAGGGTTCTGCTGTATACTGCCCTGGCCTTGCAGCCGCTTTGGCCGAGCTTTTTGCAAAGCACCTGAGAGCCAGCTATGCATTCCACAGTAGGAATTCCTTGAGGGCAGACGGACATGAGAGCATGTTTGTGAATGAGTTTGTAAAGACAGCTGCATGGGAGGTTAGTGCAGCATGGAAATGGACAGGGTCTTCGCACATCAATGTCCTTGAATTAGCCAGTGCACTTCAGGCTGTGAAAAGAATTGCTGTTCGTGGAGGAGGTAGGGCCATTCTTTTGCTTGACTCAAACGTGGCCTTGCAGACCATTGCAAAGGGCAGATCCTCGGCCCGGTCGCTTACCAACCTTCTTCGGAAAATCTGTTCTTTGTGCCTGGCTTTTGGAATTTCCCTGTCCGTCCATTTCTGTCCAACTCGCCTGAATGTCGCTGATGATCCTTCTCGGTCAGTTTGTCTGCGCTCAGCCCGTGCTGGCGGTTCCTTCTTGTCTTTGCTGGACTTTGATGGATTTTTCCGCCTTGCCGAGCTTCCAAAACTCCGACGTTGGATTTCCAATTGGACGTGCCTTTTCCTTGGACTTTGCTTCCGCCATTCCCTCCGTCCTGCGTCCCTGGCAGTGAACAATCCCCGCAATCGCTCCTCCGAGCCACCTGTGGACTTTTATCATTTCCTGTTGGATTTTGATGCCACTCTCGGCTACCCTGGTGAAGGACCCATTGTGTGTAGTTGGATTTTTCTAATTTGGGGCGTTAGCTTAGTTTGCAGCCATGGAATGATGCCGCGTCACCGTGAAGACCAGAAGAGGTTTGAACTCAGAAGAACCAGGCCTTTGGCTCAGGGTCGTCCAGTTCAGCCACTGACCCGTACAAACCGAGACAAGCTTTTGGATAAGTTTCGAGATTGGCTGGCGGAGAAGGGTTTTTGCCTACAGCAGGTTCTGAATGAAGCGTACACTGAACCCGAAAAAGTCGTTGAGTTCCTGGTGCGCTATGGGAAAGAGTTGTATGAGGCAGGCAGGCCGTACAGCCACTACTCAGAAACTGTAAATGCTGTTGGGGCAAGCAAGCCTACTATCCGTAGGATGATGACAGGGGCATGGGATCTGGCCTTTTCATGGCTGCGAGAAGAACCAGGGGAGCACCATACGGCATGCCCCTACCAAATTCTTTTGGCTGTTTTGACGATGGCCATTATTTGGGGGTGGCCACTTGCCGCTGGAGCAATAGCGTTGTCCTGGGGGTCTGTATGCCGAATTGGTGAGGTGCTTCTGGCGCGGCGACAAGATTTGATCTTGCCCGTTGATGTGGGCTTTTCACAATTGTCGGTGCTCTTGAAGGTTCAGGAGCCCAAAATGCGTTTCAGAGCTGCACGTCATCAGATGGCCAGAATGGACTATGAAGACCTGGTCACTTTGGTGTCATGTGCCTTTGAGAAGCTGAAGCCAAACGACAGACTTTGGCCACATTCTGGACAGCTGTTGAGAAATCGCTTTAAGCAGTTGCTGGAAGCCATTGGAATCACAAAGGCTTCAGTTAGCAGTGAACGCATGCTGGACTTGGGCTCCTTACGAGCTGGAGGGGCAACCCATCTTCTGATGGTCACGGAAGATGCAGAGCTGGTACGTAGAAGGGGTAGATGGATGGCTCACAGAACCATGGATATCTACTTGCAAGAAGTGCTGGCGAGCGTATACTTCCCTAGACTACCAGTTTTGGTGAAGGCAAAGGTGCTGCACTTAGCCCTTGCCTTTCCTGCAACGCTGAGCCGTATGAAGATGATGACTGAGGGTGGCCTCTCTGCAAGCATGTGGTATGACATTTTTCACTATGGCACAGATGGGAAGAGTGGGAACAAAACCAGGGTGGAAGGCCTTGCAAAAGCAAAGGCGCAGAGAACAAAACCAAGGAAAGGCTGAGAAAACATGAGGGTGAGCAGCTGTGCATAGCTGAGAATTATCAATGTGCCTCGCCGCTGCTCAAGACTGCCCAATCCCAACCCGCCCTGGGAACAAAACCAGGGTGGAAGGCCTTGCAAAAGCAAAGGCGCAGAGAACAAAACCAAGGAAAGGCTGAGAAAACATGAGGGTGAGCAGCTATATAATTATATAAGATAATAAACATATGGATAAGTTATATAACTATTATAAACTGGTTCATATAAAATAATGGATAACCCTGGTTTATATATGTTTATATGATATAGTTTATATAATGGGTTTGATATGGATTACCCCAGTCATGACCATCGACGAATCGACGATGCCCCCGGAAGGATGATCCGTCGGTTCCGGTTCTGCCGTTCTGCCGGATGACTGGAGAGTGTCGAAAACGATGGACATTGCGAATTAGAATGGTAAACGTGTGTATGAATATGTTTATAGATATGTTTATAGATATCATATCTGGAGTGTTTTTGTTGGATTTCTTGCCGACCTGTCGGATGCCACTGATCCACTGGATGTGGTGAAGGGTATGAGTACTTTGATCATGGTCTGCTTGGTTGTTCAGGTCAGCCGGTGGTTTATAAACTCACAATACATATATAACTGTGAGGACATTCTATTCACAAAATTGGGAGGGCTCACATGGTTCAGCTCAGCCTGTACTATTTTGATGGTTCCTCAATATGTAGTGGAAAATCCAAGAGTTGCTGGTCAATCTCGATTAGCGGGGTTTCCTCAATGATTGGGGGGAAGGATCCTTGATTTTTGGACACATATGTTCGCGACCACAGTGACCACAGATGTCTTTTTCCCACTAGTTGGTCGGTAACTAGATGGGTAACCCCTCATGGAAGAACCATTAGGCAAATAGTGGGATTCAGAATATACCAGTCACTGATCAACATTTATTTCGCTTTGGGGACATCAGATTGTTCGCAAATATGTCCCTCAGTCATGTGGCATTTCCTGAGATGTGCTGTTCGGCGAACACTGGGCCCTGACCGAGGTCTTAGAGTGTGCCGGGTTTGACTCGCAAAAAGATGGTTTCAGACGGTCCTTCACGAAGCGATGTTGAGAGTGAAACGGCTGGGTAGGGTGCTGGTCATGGCACAGATTTTCAGATGCTTCTATGCGAGCAGTGTGCCAAGATGATCTAACAGTCTAACATTTTCGGAAAGTGGGAAACCCTGGAATTAAATGGAGGTATTGATGTGAATATCATCCATCAGGGGATTTTCATCATCTAGTTGGCTTGTCGTTCTTGATTTTTTTCCAGCCATTGACCATTGATGCAGGTCTAGGATTGCACGTGGGTTGGTCCCCATGTCCCGACGAAAACCCTTCGCAGCCCTTCAGCACCCGCAGCTTTGGCTGTAGATTCGAATAACCAAACATGAGGATTGACCAATAGCAACATTTGGTAGATTTTGAATGATTTTGAAACCTGATTGGTTAAGATAACTTAATAGCAAAAATCATTGACCAATAGCAAAACCAATGTTTTCAGATTCTTGACACTTGATTTTCCAACTGGAGACGTTTCTGGTGCATGGGTAAAACTCCTGCCAGGGGTTATCATTAGGTCGATTTGATACAACCACTTCCAAGGTATCCCACCCCCAAGGTTTAGTTGGTCATTTCATGGGTTCCTGGTAGTGACTAGTGATATCATGATATCCTTATCATTCATGAGTTGGATACGCATGTGTGGACGCAACCAGGGGCTTGATCGGTGGGAGTGTGTACACAGCGATCCAAAGATGGACTTTTTTGGAAATTGCTATCCACAAGATGGGGATAGCCGGGATAGCTTTAAAAATCTACCCTCTGGTAAATTAACATAGACCCCGGCAGTCATCGGGGTTGGAAGACTAGTTTCCATTCAAAATTGGTGAATTTCAGGGTCTATGTTTATTTACCAGAGAGTATGCCATTTTTTTTTCTACCATGTTTTTTTTTTTTAATCACAACCTATCACAACTACCCAAGCTTTCGTCCATGGAACTGGCGCGACTTCGCTCAGCGCTGGGCGAAGGTGAATTCTGAATGGTTGGGTATCTGGAATAGATGGTTGGGTAATGTTGGGTACATCAATCTAGATTCGATATTCTAGATTTGTGAGATTTAGATTGAGCTTGGGTGCGATTATTTTTCTTTCATAGGTTAGTTAGTAAGGGGTAAATTCGAAGAGTGAAATGTCCTGCAAAATCATTACCCAAGCATTTGGGGTGTCAATTTACAGCAAACATTTGTTTGAATGACAATTTAAAGTCCTCAGAATGGGACACAAACCAACTGCTGCCAAAAATGCTAACATAACCACCTGGACCATCAACGCCTGTAACTAAGAAATATTGGGAAAAGCTGTGGCTTTCACTTTATGGTGCATGTTTGATAATTTCAGGCTTATATCAAAGAGATAGCTTGACATATATGAGCTATGCCAATTAGCCAATTACGCGCACGCATGGAGAGAGTGACATGTAATCAAAATCATTTGAACTCTTTGTTCATTTGGGTCATTTGGGTCATTTGGGTCATTTTGGTCATTTGGGTCATTTATTTTGTCCCCTGACCCACAGTGAAAAGTAAAGGTTGAAAAGGTTGATCTGGAGCAGCGACCCATGTGATCCACCAGTGATGACTGGATTTCTCTGCAAGACTTCCCAAATAACCAGAGTTGAGGTGTCATTTTGGTTGGTTGTTTGGGATGTTGAAGGCAATATTTCAACATATTTCAAGCATTTTGAATCCATGTGAAGATATTCTGGGCATCACCTGCTGATTCTTCAACTGCCAAGCTCAGTTGCTGGATTTCGATCGCTCTTGGTGGATGGCCCAGGACAAGTGGAAGGGGAGATCGACAAACTCCGTGCGCTACTGGGGGCCGTTGAGGCGGACTCCATCTTCCGTTGGAAGAGTAAAATCTGACCAAAACTGATGGTAAGTGAGTGTTCTATCAATGCTTATTACATCTTATTACTATGCATCAACGAAGTTTGGGATGGACAATTTAACAGGCTTCTGGCCGGAACTTGTTCTAGCCAGGGTTCGGATGCCTCGCCTTTGATTGAGTGACCATTTCTTTCGATTTATTCACCGTGTTTGTTGTGTACACCAGGTTTCGTTGCTGATGTCCTCAAGTTTGTTGGTGAACTCCCGATTTCTTTTACTTTTTCTTGAGCTTTTTCGTGATTCCAGCCATTCCATCCCTTTAGTGTTGATTGTTCTTAATTTCACTTGGTACAGTCCTGCTTTGTGGGTGATCCTCACCTCTCATTGCCCCCGTCCTCCCCGTCCGGCAAAAGAAACTCCACCGCAGGCGGACGTGCGACTCTTGCGTCAAGTGAAGGATGAAGAGGTGCACCAGATCAACAAATATGGGGAGTTCTCCAAAAGCGAGTCTCATTACAAGCTTTTTTTCGGGGAAAGGGTGCTTGCAATATGCTTCGAATTGTACCAACATGCGGTTTGATAACTGGGATTTGATCATGGTATACCGATCACACGCGATGATCATTCCAGGAACCTAAGCAGGTTCAGGTCCCGAGCTTCCAACATGAATTATGATGCCTTTAGACTACCTTCTGGTAATCTAACTTCGCAGCCAGTGAAAGTAGATTCGTAGATGATTTGCGGATTAAAGATGGTGCTTTTCCAGTTTGTACACTGTTAGATTGCCAGAAAGTAATCTGGCTACTTAGTGTCCACCTTTTTGATTAAATCCCATTAATCACAATTTTTCATGGTTCGCCACGATGGTTCATTAAAGAACAAGGCACCGTCGCGAAGTCCTGCTGGGATGGCGATCCGGATCGCCATCCACACCCCGCTTGGCATCGCCAGGGGGGCCTCCAAGAATGCACGGATGGAGAATTCATTCTTCGCAGCCCTGAGCCTGGAAACCCAGTGAGCTGAGCGATGGGGCTATCCATGTGCCCGTAGCTCGGAGCGTTGAGCTACGACTTGAGTTTCTCAACCAAATGATAGGTGAAGTTGATGAATCATGATACCCTCTGCCAATCTGTACCATAACTATGGAAAATCACCATTTATGATTTTTTAAATAGGTCGATCATCCATACATGGGCCGTTTTCTATAGTTATGTTGAATTACCGGAGGGTAAACCATCCACACTTTCTGCCTTGAAGTGGTGGGATATGCCCAGAATCTCTGCAAAATGGACAGTCTTTCCAGGAACTTAGAGTGAATCCTGAGTCGCACACTGCTGCATTGTTTCATGGATTCAGATGGGTTTCCAGATGTCACATGCTGACAAGCTTGGAGCTGTTACCCCAGTTTTCCATCCCACTTCATCGATTTGGACTCCAAATCTCCAGAAAATCCCCATTGTTGGTAGCTTCAATGCCTATTTGATTGGCTGATCCATCATCACTTGGTTCAAATTTTAAACCATAAAATATAAACTGCAGTAAACCAACATAGATGTGGAAAAGGAAGCAACCATGGATTTCCAGAGCTATGTGCGCGTTTACTGGAGGCTACTCCTTAGTGTTGGTACCATTTCTCGCTTCACTACGAGAATTAGATGGGAAGATTTACAGGAAAACCCTTTCTTATTTGGGGTTCAAAACCGTGGTTTCTGGCTAAGATATTCCGAGCAAAACCCATCCATTGATTTAAAGGCTTACGCCTGACAGCCGGGCGCCGGCCAAGCAATCTTGGCACCATGTTGGCCCTATGTTGGGCCTATGTTGGCCTATGTTGAGCCATCTTGGGAGCTATGTTGGGGCAATGTTGGGGTCATCTATGTTGAAACGATCTTAAGATGCAAATTTTTCCGCCCCGTGCCCCCTCCTGGAGCCCAAAACCACGTAAAAAAACGATGTTTTTGAACATCGCCAAAATCAAATCCGTGGCCGCCAAAGGGCCCGAAACACAGTAAAAACTATGTTTTTTAACACCGCAAGCAAAAAACACCGTAAATTACAGGTCCTTCAGTTGGGGGGAGTGAGCCGGGGGTCGGCGGCAGGGCCGGCAGCGCCTGTAACCTTCGGTTACCACCGAAGGCCTCCGGCAAGGACACGGGCTCCGTGGCCGATGCCCGGATTCTTATTTAAAGGCTTACGCCTGACAGCCGGGCGCCGGCCAGGCAACGACTTTTGGCTTATGGTGTGGGAAGATTGGGCCGAGATCCTCCGCACAAACCCAGGGAGGGCTATGTTGAACTGAGGCAGGCATCATGCGCAGTGCTTGCCTGTATGGAAGCAGTCTGGGCCTATGTTGAGCGCAGGTTGGGCCATCTCGGGCCCATTTTGAGCCATCTTGGGCCCATCTTGGGCTTATGTTGGGCCAAGTCGGGCCCATGTTAAGCCATCGTGCCCATCTTGGGCCTATATTGGCCCAGGTTGGGCCTATGTTGGGCCCATGTTCGGCTATGTTGGCCCTATGTGGCCCCATGTTGAGCCATCTTGGGAGAAGAAAATAGCTCCAAATTGCAACCTTCAGGCCTCCACAACCTTGGTGCCGGCGTCGGCCAAACCAAATTGCAGCCTTCAAGCCTCCGGAACGTTGCTTCCGTTTTTCATCCGTCGTCGCATCCTCTTTCTTGCCCATTTGGCATTGCTTCTCAGACGCGCTCCGGATATTTGGTGTTTTGGTGATTGCATCGAATTAAATCACATGAAACTATCATTAAACTATCATTATATAATAAAAACCATATTAAATCATCATAAATCCGCCTAAACTGAGTGGTTCAATCACTGAACATGGCCTCTCCCATTGGGCCCCACTGGGGGCTTGGTCCGAGGCATCGGAAGAAGATGTTGACGCAGGCTGTGAAGACGGCGAACAGCACGCCACAGGCGCGGGGAACGCTGCGGGGGGGAGACAGAGCCACAGAAATGTTTTTACAAACTGTATATTGTGTGTATCTCTATAATTATATCTGTAATGATCTCTGTAACCATCTCTGTAATTATCTCTGTAATTATCTCTGTAATTATCTCTGTATTTATCTATCTTTCTATCGATCTATCTATCTATCTTATCTGATCTTATCTGATCTTATCTGATCTTATCTGATCTTTTCTGATCTGATCTTATCTTATCTATCTCCATTTTGTCTACTTATCTATTTATCTCCATTTATCTATGTATTTATCTATTTATCTATCTATCTATCTATCTATCTATTTTTCTTTCCATGTATTTATGATGTAAAGTACAACTCGTGACTTATGTGTGGATGAGTCGATACCGAAAAGGGACGATCCAGCTATCACCAGCAACTGCAGGTGGGTCGTTGGCGTCTCGAAGATTTGGCAGCCATAGTCCGACAACTCCTCAATAAAGTCCCGAAAACTTCCCGCCCCTTTAAATTTCAGTTTGACTCATGAAAAAACGGGGGGCCCCGGGGACCTCCTATTTTCGCCCACAAATTCGGTGACGTATCTTCCAGCCATCAGGCACAGAAGACCCTGATGCCTGCCGCAGCGCCTGGTGTGCTCGGTACTTCGCCTTCCCGTGCTTCGCCGTCACGCGCGGCGCCGCCATCTGGGGCTCCGCCAGTAGCGGTGCCACAAGGCCATGGGGGTCATGGGGCCTGCGTTGAGTCGTAGCCACATCTCAAGCTTTGGGATAGCATGGGAGTTTGAA